ATAACAAATTCACTTTCCTTAGTTATTATTCATGTGGTAATATTTTCAATTTGTATACATTACATGTATTCAAGAATTTATCTGTTTTTCTCTATGTATCTACATTCTGGTATACACTTATGCACAATAGTTTATCACGACTTTTAACGTAATACTCATCATTTTTAGGTTTCCTTTTCAATCTCTATATTTATTTATTTATGTATACTTTTTTCACGTTTAATTAGCTACAGCATTTTTCATATACCATTATAAAGCCTTTCTCTCGTTCTGTACATTGTCTCTTCTCTATCCTGTTGATTGTTCCTTTTGTGATGTAGAAAGTTTTAATTTGATTTAGTATCATTTCTTGATATTTGATAATACATCTTGTACTGTTGGAATGTTATTCATGAAGTTATTGCCCTGCCCATGACAGTGTCTCCCACATGTGTTATTCTATTAGTTTCAAATTTATCAGTCTATGCCTATGTCGTTATCCTTTTGTGATTTTATTTTGTACAGAGTGAGAAATTGGGATTATTTTCAGTTGTCTGCATGTGGACATTTGGTTTTTCCAGCACGTGTTCTAAAGAGACTTTTTTCTCCATGGTTGGTTTAGAGTTAATTTGTCACAAATGAGATAGCTCTGTTTATTTTTTTGTCATTTTCCTACTCCATTGGTCTGTGTTATTACAGTGTATATGTATATATTTTTTCCAATACTATACAAAATAATTTTAAATTTAGTATTATGATGGTTCCTGTGTTATTCTTTTGTTCAAGACAGTTTTACTTATTCTGTGTTTTTTCTTCTTAACATGCATTTTAGGAATACAGTTATAATTATGTGAACAAATTTGTTGATATTTTAATAGTGGCATCATTGAATCTGTAGATTACTTTTGATTAAATGATGAAGTCACTAACATCCAGAGTTAGCAGAGACCCATACATTTTCTTTACTCTTTCTTTCTTTCTTTCTTTCTTTCTTTCTTTCTTTCTTTCTTTCTTTCTTTCTTTCTTTTTTCTTTCTTTCTTTCTCTCTCTCTCTTTCTTCTCCTTCCTTCCTTCCTTCCTTCCTTCCTTCCTTCCTTCCTTCTTTCCTTCCTTCCTTCTTTCCTTCCTTCCTCTGTTCCTTCCTTTCTCTGTGCCTAGCATCAAACTCAGGACCTTGCATTTTCCAGGCAGGCACTGTGCTCCTGAACTATATCGCTGGTCCAGTCTACGTACTTGCAAAATGCACATTGGTGCTTCGTGATACCCAACTGTAGTCTGTGGAATCAAGAACTGAATTTAATGAATCTTTCTACATTGCATAGTATTTAACTGCCATTGAACTATGAAAGCTTTAGGTTCTTTTTGTAGGTGCTTTTTTTTACTTTTATGTGAAAAGAGTAAAATCAATATCCATACCAAAAAATATCATTTTAACAATATTAGTTCTATTGACTCATAGATGAGTGTTAGCTTTCCATTTGCCTTCAATGCACTACATTTTTCGTGGAGAAGAATAACTATCTTCTTTGTTAGGCTGATTAAAAATGTTTTTGATGGAATTGTTGACACATAAAGATATTCATGCATATGAATCCTTGTCTAAAGTTTTATTTCCATGGAAAGAATATTGCTGGGATTCTTATTCTATATTAATATACTGCCATCATTTCAAAAGTTACCTTTGCTGATATTAAATTTGTTGAGAAAATATGCACAATAATAGAGAGTAAATATATAAGATGAACAACTATTCTGAGAACAACATCATGCAGTGTAGCAGCTATTGTCACATTCTAATTACTTTGGTGAAATTTTGTATCATTTCTAATTCTTTTTTTAATCTATCACTATTTTATATTCTACAAAAAATTTTGAAGAAAACATGATAATCATTTTAGATTCTTCTTGATTTCACAGTAATCACATTTAGTTAAATTTCCAAGTCAATGTCTGATATTGATTTCTCACAATATTATGATTTCCATATATTTACCACATTACCTTAGATATAAAACTCATTTGGTTAAACTTAATGTCCATTGTTACCCTACTCTAGGCTTTTTCTGATAAATGTATTTTTTAAGATAGAAGTTTCCTATATTTTCAGTTTTAAATCCTACATTGTCTTATTACTTGTAGAAAGGCATGTTTCTCACACTACCCTTGCTCTGAGCCTTTGTGGTAGGCAGCATGTCTCCTTCTTTCCCGTGTTTCTCTCTTTCACTCTGGAAGTCTGAAGAATGGCTATAAACTAGAATCCAGCTTGAGCACTTCACAGACTTAGTGTGACCTCACTGAAAGAAAGAAAAAAAGAATGAAGAAAGAAAGAGAAGAAAGTATTACATATAGCTGAGTGCAATCCCTTTTATACAAAGAGGGAAATATATTCCCTGAGCTCAGCTATATAAGTTACCTAGGGCATCTCAAATCATAGAGAAAGCTATCAAAGAGCTGTTTCTGGCTTGCTTGAGAAAATGGGAAAAATATCTTTAAACTATCTTCCTTGCAAAGGCACTCCCAAGATTTCTCATGCTTTACTTCAAAGGTAGAACACAACGTACATTCTGCTATTATGTGTACCTTTTATCTTAAAAAAAACTACTTGAAAGCTAATAAAACATGATTCATGGTAGAATATGTGGGGCATATATACTCTGGAGATGGAAAGTAGTTAACACAAATAAAAAGTGACTATTTTTCAACCTCACCCATCTACATTCTTCATCCTAAGATTTTTCTACATGATTTTTGGAAGTCATGATTGCTCAAAGTTTCCAGATAACAATTTTTTGAAATAAACAATTTCTATTGAAGAAAAAATAGTAGAAATATTAGATATCTCAGAACAGAGCAAAATGTTAGAAAGTAGTTAGAAACTCATAATGTGTAAACAGTATATATGATATTGTTTTGACACAAATCTTGATTAAATTTTCCACTGAAACTAAAAAATCTTATTTTTTATGTAAGAATAGAGTGGATAAAGGATACTCTAAAAATAAAAAAAGATTTTTAACATAATAAAATATTTTCCTTAAATTTATATGTCCAGAATGTAAAAATATTTTCTAAATATTTAGAACTGTTACTAAAAAGTAGCAGTAATTATCCAGAAAGCCAACTCTTTTTAATTATTTTTGTTCATTTTTTTAAAAAATACAAAATGGTAAATGAAAACATTAGAAATAATACAAAATTTCACTAAACAAAGTAATAGGAATTTGACAGTAGTTGTATTGCATAATGTTACCTTCAAATTATTTGTTTAGATTGTGAGATAAAAACTTGCAAACAGGCAAGAAAAAGTTATAAGTAATCAAAAAGAAGAAACATAAATAAATAAAATGTTAAAAATTAAGCATTAACTACTTCTTTCAATAGACCAACAAAAATCAGCAGTACAATTATCCAAATGATCCTGCATATATACATAAATTCATCTTTTTCCCTTTTTCTCATTGCAGAGTTTCCTTCCCATTGAACAGATTCTTTCCCTTTTACATAATCTACTGTACCTTTCAGATTTTGTTTATTCTTTCAGGTTCCAAGCTATAATGTCATAATTTACTGCCTTTAAAAAAAGACCAATACCTTTAAAACATTGGAACTGGGTTAAAGTTGATTCTCTTTTGGAATTCTGTAAGTTTTCATAGAATTACTGCTTTATTCTCAATCATGCCAGAAAATAGAACTGTTAACACTGTTGTCTGCTGTTCTTACAGTACTAATTCTTTCACCACACACCATCTTGTTAAGTTCTCAATATATAATTTAAAAGAAAATAGTCAAAATTCTTTAATTTTATTTCATGAATTATTATTAACGTTATGGCAATATTTTTCTTTTGAGTGTTATTTAATCCTTTTGGGCTTCAGAGACAAAATTCTCGAGACAGCATAACTTATGAGCAGTATCAATTTATTTCTTGCAGTTCTGGATGCTGGGCCTCCAAGATGGGCGCCAGCAGCTTAAGTGTCTGGTGAACCTGTCTCAGGTCCTAGGTGACACCTGTTGCATTGGTTGGAAGGGAAGCTGCACTGAGTCACTACGGAATTGAGGGCGCAGGTTCAAAAGACCAAACTCTCAGGCAACTCTTCTATAAAAGCATTTCCCGTCTCATGGATACTACAAGTTGCTATCTTAGTGCTGTGACATTCATATTAGCAAATACATTTTGCAGAGATACATTCTAAAAACAGCTGTTATAGAAATAAGGTTTAATGTTATAACTTCTAATTAAACACATACTGAGCATTATTAACCTCAAAATTTTGAATCAGTGACAATGCTTATAGTACTTGTTTGAGTAATTACTTTGCTTTTAACAGAAACATGAGTTATTTCCTTCTCATATTGATTCTTGCACAATTTCAAAAAACATTCCTGTATCTTCTAATTTAATCATAAGAATTCATGATTCAGTAACAATTAAAATCATTTCTTTATCTTTCATAGTAAAGATTCATGATTACAATTAAAAAAGGAACATTAAGAAATACATAACAAGTTGTATCTATTTATTCTACTCCTAACATTTAATAATAGATTATTTGAAAATATAAAGCTAAAATGATAATGTTTCCAAATAGCATTAGTGTAAAATGAGGGTGATCAGCTTATGAAATTCATGCCTTTTTGAGCACTCAGGGTGATTTACATAGGCTATGCACCAAGATTTGGGTCACGCTGGAGTGTAATAACTTGCTTCTTAGGTGACATTTATTGAAAGATAACTGATACATAATTGCTGTGTTATTTTTCAATAGTTTCTTGGAATATTTGGATGTTAAATGCTAAGCTAGGTAACACTGTAAAACTTCAATGCACACTACTATAATATTAAATTACTACTGGATTAACTATCCTGGTGAATGTGAATTAAGTATAATAATTAATAATGTGATTAGAAAGAATATAAAATATGATATTTTTAGGAACACAAGTCTTTACTATGACTTGAATTATTATAGAATCCTGTTAAATATGTTATAAATGTTTAACACTTTTATGTCTATCAAATTTCACTTGTAGCTGAAAATGCCCCTCAACAGCTTTTCTAGGGCTCGCTTCACATCCTTATTCCTCAGTGTGTAGATGAAGGGGTTGAGGGTAGGAGTCACCACCCCATAGAAGAGAGCCATGAACTTGGGCTGGTCCCTGGAGATGGAAGAGGGAGGCTGAAGGTACATGCTAATGGCTGGACCATAAAATAGAGAAACCACAAGGAGGTGAGAGGAACATGTCCCAACAGCCTTTTTCCTTCCTTCTGAAGATTTCACCTTAAATATGGTATGTCCAATACTAGCATAGGAAGCAAGAATTAAACACAGAGGGACAGCTAACATAAAGATGCACACAACAGAGAGTGCAAGCTCATTGGTCTCCTTTTCACCACAGGCAGTCTTGATCAGAACCGGAATCTCACACAACAAGTGATCCAGCTTATTTACACCACAGAGTGGCAGCTGTAGTGTAAGTGTAGCTTCTGAGAAAGCATATGCCATTCCACCCAACCACACAGTGGATACTAGTAAGAGACAGATGTGCTGACTCATGATGAAGGTGTAGTGCAGAGGCCTGCAGATGGCCACATAGCGGTCAAAGGACATAACAGACAAGAGCAGACATTCTGTCCCCCCCATTACACTAAAGACATAAAGCTGAATTACACACCCAGTGTAGCTGATTATCTTAGAGTGGCCTAGGTTGAAGAGCATCTGTGGGACAATGCTTGTGGTGTAACACATGTCCAGAAAGGAGAGGTTGGAGAGGAAGAAATACATGGGGCTGTGGAGATGGGTGTCTATCTTGGATACCAAGATGATAGCAATGTTTCCTATCATGGCCATGGGGTATGTTATCAGAAGAATAATGAACAGAGGAAGCTCCAGCCAAGGTCGGTCAGCAAAGCCCAATAGAACGAACTCCTCAGGGTGGCTTTCATTCATTAGTGTCATTGTCTTCACCTTGTTTCATATGTAGTAGGATTACAGCAAGAAAATTCAAGTAATGATGAATAAGCATCTATAATTCATTGGACATGGAATAATGAATATTGAGGCACCATAATTCATGGAATAAACAACTTGATTAATAAGAAATTAGATAACCATTTGGTTCATGACACTCTAAAAACACTTACTTTGAACAAATAACGTACTTTGAAGCTAAGTTTCCCTCCATTCTAAAGGATAAAAATAACACTCTTATTGGCTCTAATAAAGGTGAAGTACAAAGTTGAAGTGATTGTAGAAATGCCAACCCTGTGGTTTTCAAATGTTATCTTCAATAAAATGAATGGAGAAATCTGTTCAAAGAAATTAGTTTTATTTTTTTGTCTCCAGGAGTCTAGTGAGGTGCATATGATAGTGCACCTGCACTTTTCAGAAGCACCTTAGTAAGACTTCTCTGACACATTAAGCACAGGTAATGTTCAGAGATAGCAACAGAAGAAAAATGGAAGAGGTAACCTGAAGCTATGAAAGTAATAAAGATGTCCTTCTCCAGTGACAAGTAGTCACTGTGGTGATTTCATTAGCTCCATAGGAAGTAAGAAGTCTTCTGTGCTAGGTAATCTATTTTGGCTTTTCAACACTAAGCATGAAATCTACTCACTGCTTTTGCTGCTGTCGTTTTTGGAACAGTTCTCACTATGCTTCCTAGACTTGTCAGGTCATGAGCTCAAAGGACTCTCCCACTTCAGTCTCACCTATGAGAGTTACTACAGGAATGTGTAAACACACATTAGGTAAAAGTTTTTGATATTAGTTACTTTAAATATAAATTGAGACAAACAATAGGAAAACCAAGGCCCAGAATGATAGCTCAATGGCTTAAGCACCTGCCTGGCAAGCAAGATCCTGAGTTCAATCCCTGGTACAAAAGAAAGAAAAGAGAAAGAGCAATGGCGGAGCCATGAGCTTTTAAAGTTGGGAACAAGGAAGGAAAAGAGCAGCCAAATGACTCTGGGTACTTTCAGGTACTTCCTGTGCTGTTTAGAAAGTGTCAAAATTGAAAGGACTGCCTTGCTATGCTAACTCAAGTCTTGTTTTCAGGAATTCTGGTCTGTGTTTGGATCTCTTTGCCCACTCCAAGTTCCAGCTAGATTGGGGGTCACTTAGCACGAGTGGCACTGGCTGGGCTATTGGAGCCTAACTGAGCCACAGATTCCAGATATTTATCTGGAGTTAGCACAGCTTATGTATCTCATCCACGTTTCTATTCTGAAATACATTGAAATACTCTGCTTCTACCCTTAGATATTTTATCTTTTTTATAGCGTTTTCATAATTTTTTATTATTTTTGCATCTTGAAGTTCACACATTTTGAATCTTTTACCTCTAGTAATTCATCTAATCACTATTACTGTGCAGAATCCTATTCATCTACAGATCTGTAATATTTCTTTATAAAATGTCAAACTCTATTTATTTTGACATATATTATTAATACATATTTTGGAAGACAAAGGGATCCAGGGCCAGCCAAATAACTCAGCAAATTAAAGCACCTGCAAACAGTCACAGGGTCTAGGGGTTCAATCCCTGGGCCAGTTGTCCCAGCCCCACACCCGGGGCACACTGAGATGGCAATTGAGACTAGGCGTGTTGGCACATGACTGTTATCCCAGCACTTGGGAAGCTGTAAATAAGCAGATCACTATGAGTCTGATCTAGTAGTGAGACTCTGAACACACTGTAGTCCCTTCCCTAAAATACAGAAAGAAAAAGACAAAGAGATCCAGAATAGTATGCCTAGCCAGTTATACTTAAATGAAAAGAGCATTTTATGGATTATACACTTATATTCATTTAATAAAAATGACATAGGGCCTCTGTTTCTATAAGAATTTGTACAACATTCCTGTTCTCCATAGCTTATGGTGCAATGGTATATTCTTTAAAGACACTCTTTCGTTGTTCTGAGATGTGATTTATATCAGAATTTTTCTTTCATAAAACTTTTGTAAACTTCTAACATAATTGAGAATCCTGAAGTAACACTGGAAACCTGAAAAAATCAAGGAGGACATTTTGAGGTAGTAATACTTCAAAATAATCTCTAAGAAAAATGTTGATAAGAATACAATTCTACAAATTAAATCACCATAGCTTTCTGAAATCCAGGGTTGACTTTCTTGTACATAAAAAAGATAGCAAACTCCACTTGAAGCAGGCTCCAAGATGGCTATGTCTGACTTATTGCTTGAAGACGTAATTATCTCTATATTTTTGTTTTACAATGACCTCTGTCTGCCCATCTGTGGGGTTGGTGCCTCATGGTATCAGGGCCCAGCTTTCCAATCTCATTTTATCTTTCCAATATCTTTTCCAATCATTTCATCAAACACTGTATTTTATTTATGTTTGCATCATTTTAAAACATTATGTATGGCCAAATTAATATGTAAAGATATAGGAAAAGTTAACAATATTTTAATTCACACACATAAAATGTATGGGAAAGTCAAAACATGAAAGTGTTACCAGATCTTTAAAAAGTGTTTTGTGCTATATATTCACTTGATTAAAGGAAGGACTTTATTAAGGGTTTGTGTGTGTGTGTGTGTGTGTGTGTGTGTGTGTGTATGTGTGTTTTACTGGAGATCAAACTAAGGACCTTGCACTTGCCAGACAGCTGCTTATGCTGCTGAGCTGTTCCCCAGCCCCTGTTTGGGTGTTTAAAAACTATTAGACATTATGTGTATTGAAATTTAGGTTACATTATAGTTATTCCTGGAAAAAGTCACAGAGACATTAATTGCAGAGAGAAACCTAGTTGTTCACATAGACAATGAGCCAGGTATTTCCAAAGTTTAGAAAAGGCCCCCTGGAATGAAATGCTGCTGATATCAGGCCCTAAGACCATCACACATTCCAACCTTTCCTGAAAATCTATGGCTGTAAAAGCAAACATTTTTTACTCACCTATTTTGATAAATATAATTTCTTAAGAAAGTTTGAAGGAATTCATTATAATTTTTCAAACTCATAGAGAAACTTACATGAATATGAAAAAGTTAGCTTCAGAACTCTTAAATTTTCAGCTCATACATAGTGTCAGAGAGAAAAAAAAGCATATTCTTGTCAGAAAGACAAGAATAGACGATAGCATCCCCAAGATCTCTCTGCAGCTGTGGTGTTTGTATGATATTCCTGAGACCTCAAGGGCATTGTCTTCCCACAGGCTGTGGTGGACCTTCTCCCAGGTGAGTTAGGAAGAAAATTTTCTTGGTAGGAGTCTTATGAAAATAAATTTGGTGTATAATTTGTTTTCTACTGATCTTATCTTGGTAGAGAATCTGTTCCAATTTTAGATGAGTTCTAAAACCAACTTACTTGAATGCTAATTTAAACAGCATAGAGTTATCCCTTGATATTTATGGAATATTGGAAGTAATTAATAGCAAAATTTATGGATGCTAAAGTCCTACATGTAAAATAATATATTATCTGCATATAAATAAAACACCTTATTTTAAATTACTTCTAGATCACTTTCAATACCTAATTTCATATAAATGTTGTATAAATATTTTAATATTAGACTGTTCAGGGAGTAGCCACAAAAAGATTCTTTACCTGTTCAGTACAAATGGAACCATTACAGACTTAACTACACAGCCCATGACCAATTGTTATCTGCCTCCGCAGATACAGAACCTCAGAAGAGGTGTACAGCTAGGCAATAAAAAAGAAGAAAATATTAGAGTTATCACATGTAAATTACTTCAAATAGGTAAAGGATAAAGTTTTAAATTCAAGTTCTTTTAATAAATTACTTCTTAAAATTATCATTTAATATTTAATGAATTTTCATTCTCAATAAAGAATAAAAATGAATTGTAAAGAAATTAAAATGATAAAAATATCTTTTCAATAAGAAATCATCAGTATACTTAAATTTCTTTATGATAGCCACTCTTTCAGGATGAGATGATATCTCAGTGTTGTTTGAATTTGCATTTCATGGATGGCTAGTGACGTGGAGAATTTTTTCATATATATATTTGCTTCTTTAATTTAGTCCTCTGAGAAGTGTGTTTTCATCCTGGATGCCTATTTCTGGAGTGGATTTTTAAATTTTGGGCCCTAATGTTTTTTAGTTCTTTATAAAATTTTGACAGCAGACCTTTGTCTGAGTGTGTATTATTCAAGATTTATTTTTCCAAATTTGTGAGTTGTGTTTTCACGATGTTTGTAATTTCTTTTGATGTGCAAAATGTTCTCTGTAAGAGGATATTCTGGTTGTTAATTCTTTCAAGTATTACCCTTGTGATTTGATTTTTGTTTATGAACTCTTTGCCTACCCCTACATCTTCAAGAGTTCTTCCTACTTTCTCTTCCAGGAAATTTAGTGTTTCTGTTTTAATATTTACATCTTTAAACCATTTTGACTTTAGTTTAGTGCAAGGTAATAGAACTGGGTCAAGTTCCACTTTTTGGCATATAGAGAGCCACTTTTTCCAGCACAATTTCTTAAAGAGGCTATCTTTCTTCCAGTAAGCATGTTTGGCCCCTTTGTCAAAGATAAGGTGGTTGAATGTGTTGGTAGAGGCTTCTACATCTTCTAATCTATTCAATTGATCCTCAGGTCTATTTTCTTGCCAGTACCATGCTGATTTTATCACAGTAGCTTTGTAGTATAATTTCAAGGCAGGAATTGTAATGTCTCCTGCCTTGTCTTTGTTGCCCAATATCGCCTGTGCGCTTCCACATTTTCTGGTCCCAAATAAATTTTAGGAATGATTTATCTAAGTCTATGTGGTATGTTGGTGGTAGTTTGATAGGGATTGCATTAAATGTGTACAGCAATTTTGGGTGTATGACCATCTTCACAATGTTGGTTCTTCCTATCCATAACCGGGACATTTTTCCATTTTTATGAAATCCTCTATGACCTCTTTTTTTTCAGAGTACTGTAATTTTACTTGAATATTTCTTTGACTTTTTTAGT